AATTCCAAATGGGAACTCCTAAAATCCCCAAAAATCCCCAGTGCCCACTGGGAATTCCCAGGATCCCAACCCGTTCCAAGGTCAGGGAATTCCCAGGATAAATCCATCCCTGCTTAACCTGAGAATTCCCAAAAAACCCTGGAATTCCCATAAAAAACCCTGGAATTCCCGGAAATTCCAGCTGGGAGCTCCCAAAATCCCAAAAATCCCCAGTGCCCACTGGGAATTCCCGACCCGTTCCCAGTGGGAATTCCCAGGACAAATCCGTCCCTGCTCGACGTGAGAATTGCCAGAAATTCCCAAAAATTCCCGGGAAAAATTCCCAAAAATTCCAGCTGGGAACTCCAAAAATCCCAAAAATCCCCAGTGCCCACTGGGAATTCCTGGCTCGTTCCCAGTGGGAATTCCCAGGATAAATCCGTCCCTGCTCGACGTGAGTGTGCCCAAAAACCCCCAGAAAAAATTCCCAGAAAAAATTCCCGGAAAAAATTCCCAAAAATTCCAGCTGGGAACTCCCAAAATCCCAAAAATCTCAAAAATCCCCAGTGCCCACTGGAATTCCCGGCCCATTCCCAATGGGAATTCCCAGGATAAATCCGTCCCTGCTCAACGTGAGAATTACCAGAAATTCCCAAAAATTCCTGGGAAAAATTCCCAAAAATTCCAAATGGGAACTCCCAAAATCCCCAAAAATGCCCCAAAATCCCAAAAATCCCCAATGCCCACTGGGAATTCCCGGCCCATTCCCAACGGGAATTCCCAGGATAAATCCATCCCTGCTCGATGTGAGTGTGCCCAAAAAACCCTGGAAAATTCCTGGAAAAATTCCTGGAAAAAATTCCCAAAAATTCCAGCTGGGAACTCCCTAAATCCCAAAAATCCCCAGTGCCCACTGGGAATTCCGGCCCGTTCCCAGTGGGAATTCCCAGGATAAATCCGTCCCTGCTCGACGTGAGTGCGCCCAAAAACCCCCAGAAAAAATTCCCAGAAAAAATTCCAGCTCGAACTCCACCCGGGAATTCCGGCGTTCCCGGTTTCATTCCCGTTTTTCCGGCAGCTCTTCAGCCCCTCGGTGCCGGTGCCGGACGTGACCCTGCCGGACCTGGACAGCAGCCTGGCCAGCGTGAGCACAAAATCCCGGAATTCCGGGGAATTCTTGGGAATTCTTGGGAATTTTGGGAATTCTTGGGATTTTTGGGAATTCTGGGGAATTCCCAGCCACCACAATGACCCCAAAAAGGGCAAATCCCAAATTTTCCAGCCCCCTGGGATTCCCGTTTCTGACCCCACAGGTTGGAATTTCCCAGGGGAAATACCAGGATTGGAATTGGGATCGGGATCGGGGCTGGGATTAGGATTGGGATTGGGATTGAGATTAGGGCTGGGATTGGGATTTGGGCTGGGATTGGGATTGGGATTGGGATTGAGATTAGGGCTGGGATTGGATTTGGGCTGGGATTAGGATTGGGATTGGGATTGGGGCTGGGATTGGGATTCGGGCTGGGATTGGGATTGGGATTGGGGCTGGGATTGGGATCAGGGCTGGGATTGGGATTGGGATTGGGGCTGGGATTGGGATCAGTGCTGGGATTGGGACTGGGATTGGGATTGAGATCAGGGATGGGATTGGGATCAGAGCTGGGATTGGGTTCGGGATTGAAATTAGGGCCGGGGTTGGGATTGAGATTAGGGTTGGGATCAGGGATGGGATTGGGATTGGGATTGGGATTGGAATCGGAGCTGTGGTCAGGGCTGGGATTGGGGTTGGGATTGGGATCAGGTTTAGGGCTGGGATTGGGATCAGGGCTGGGGCTGAGATCAGGATGAGGATTGGGATCGGGATCGGGATTGGGATTGGGATCGGGATTGGGATTGGGATCGGGATCGGGATTGGGATTGGGATCGGGATTGGGATTGGGATTGGGGCCACAATCAGGATCAGGATTGGGATCAGAATTGGGATCGGAGCAGGGATCAGGATCGGATTGGGGCTGGGTTTGGGATCAGGGCTGGGATTGGGATTAGGGCCGGGTTTAGTGCCAGGATTAGGGCTGGGACCGGGATTGAGATTGGGATTGGGGTCAGGACTGGGACTGGGGCTGGAATTGGGATCGGGATCAGGATTGGGGCTGGGATTGGGATCAAGGCTGGGATTGGGATCAGAGCTGGGATTAGGATTGAGACTAGGGCTGGGGTTGGGATTGGGGCTGGGATTAGACATGGGATCGGGATTGATATTAGGGTTTGGGTTGGGATTAGGATCGGGATCAAGGCTGGGATTGGGATGAGGACTGGAATTGGGATTGGGGCCACAATCAGGATCAGGATTGGGATCAGAATTGGGATCGGAGCAGGGATCAGGATCGGGATTGGGGCTGGGTTTGGGATCAGGGCTGGGATTGGGATTAGGGCCGGGTTTAGTGCCAGGATCAGGGCTGGGACTGGGATTGAGATTGGGATTGGGATCAGGGCTGGGATTGGGATTAGGGCTGGGTTTAGTGCCAGGATCAGGGCTGGGACTGGGATTGAGATTGGGATTGGGATCAGGACTGGGACTGGGGCTGGAATTGAGATGAGGGATTTGGATCGGGATCAGGGCTGGGATTGGGATTGGGATTGGGGTCAGGGCTGGGATTGAGATTGGGGCTGGGATTGGGATCAGGGCTGAGGCTGAGATCAGGATGAGGTTTGGGATTGGGATTGGGATTGGGATTGGGACTGGGGCCACAATCGGGATCAGGATTGGGATCGGAGCAGGGATCAGGATCGGGATTGGGATTGGGATTAGGGCTGGGATTGAGATCAGGGCTGGGATTGGGGCTGGGATTGGCATCAAGGCTGGGATTGGGATCAGAGCTGGGGATTGGGATTGGGATCAGGATCAGGGCTGGGATCGGATCGGGATTGGAATCGGAGCTGTGGTCAGGGCTGGGTTTGGGATTGGGATCAGGGATTGGGATTGGGATCAGGGATTGGGATCGGAATTAGGGCTGGGGTTTGGGTTGGGGTTGGAATTGGAATCGAGATTGGGGTTGGGATCAGGGCTGAGACCGGGATTGGGATTGGGATTGGGATTGGGATTAGAATTGGGGTTAAGGCTGGGTTTAATGCCGGGATGAGGATGGGGACCGAATCGACATTGGGATCGGGATCAGGGCTGGGATTGGGATCGGGGCTGGGATTGGGATTGGGATTGGGATTGGAATTGGGGCTGGATTGGGATTGGAATTGGGGCTGGGATTGGGATTGGGGTTGGAATTGGGATCAGGGCTGTGATTGGGATTGGAATTGGGATTGGGATCTGGTCTGGGTGAGGATCAAGATTTGGGCTAGGACTGGGATTGGGATCAGGGCTGGGATCGGGATTGGGACTACAGTTGGGATTGGGATTGGGATCGGGATTGGGACTGGGATTTGGGCTGGAATTGGGATGAGAGATTTGGATCGGGATTAGGGTTGGGATTGGGATGGGGCTCAGCGCAAGGATTGGGGCTGGGGTCAGGATTAGGACTGGATTGGGATCAGGCCTGGCATTGGGATTGAGATTAGGGCTGGGATCGGGATTGGGATCAGGATTGGGGCTGAGATCAGGATGAGGCCTGAGATTGGGATTGGGGCCACAGACGGGATCAGAATTGGGATTGGAGCAGGGATCAGGATCGGGATTGGGATTAGGATTGGGATTGGGACAGGATTGAGATCAGAGCTGGAATTGGGATTGCATCAGAGTTTGGATTGGGATCAGGGATTGGGATTGGGATCAGGGATTGGGATTGGGATCAGGGATTGGGATCGGAATTAGGGCTGGGTTTGGGTTGGGGTTGGAATTGGAATCGAGATTGGGGTTGGGATCAGGGCTGAGACCGGGATTGGGATTGGGATTGGGATTGGGATTAGAATTGGGGTTTAAGGCTGGGTTTAGTGCCAGGATGAGGACGGGACCGGAATCGACATTGGGATCGGGATCAGGGCTGGGATTGGGATCGGGGCTGGGATTGGGATCAGGGCTGGGATTGGGATTGGGGTTGGAATAGGGATCAGGGCTGGGATTGGGATCAGGGCTGGGATTGGGATCGGGCTGGGATTGGGACTGGGGTTGGAATTGGGATCAGGGCTGGGATTGGGATCGGGGCTGGGATTGGGATTGGGATTGGGGCTGGGATTGGGATCGGGGCTGGGATTGGGATCGGGGCTGGGATTGGGATCAGGGCTGGGATTGGGATCAGGATCAGGGCTGGGATTGGGATCGGGATCAGGGCTGGGATTGGGATCAGGATCAGGGCTGGGATTGGGATCGGGGCTGGGATTGGGATCGGGCTGGGATTGGGATTGGAATTGGGGCTGGATTGGGATTGGGGTTGGAATTGGGATCAGGCTGGGATTGGGATCAGGATCAGGGCTGGGATTGGGATTGGGGCTGGGATTGGGATTGGGGTTGGAATTGGGATCAGGGCTGGGATTGGGATCGGGATCAGGGCTGGGATTGGGATTGGGATTGGGCTGGGATTGGGATGGGGATTAAGGCTGGAATCAGGATTGGGATTGGGATCGGAATCAGGGCTGGGATTGGGATTGGGATTGGGGTCAGGGCTGGGATTGGGATCGGGGCTGGGATTGGGATCGGGATCAGGGATCGGGATCGGGATCCGCTCCAGGATCATTCCCAGCTGTCCCAGTATGGCAGCCCCGGCCCCGCCCCATTCCCGGGATTTCCCTCTCCGGGATCATTCCTGGGACGAGCAGGGGCTGAGTTTGGGATCCCTTTAAAACCCCAAAAATCCTCGGGATGAGCGGAAATAATTCCCGGAATTCCGGCAGATCCAGGATCTCCTCTCCAACCAGGAGCAGCAGAAACCGACGGAGACCGAGCCCGGCGCAGGGGACTCCGGTAATCCATGGGAAATTCGGGAAATTCGGGAATTTTGGGGTTTTTGGGAATGGGGGACTCCGGTATCCCATGGGACATTTGGGGATTTTGGGGATATTTGGGAATGGGGGGCTCCGGTATCCCATGGGAAATTCGGGAATTTTGGGATGTTTGGGAATGGGGGACTCGGGTATCCCATGGAAAATTGGGAATTTTGGGGTTTTTGGGATATTTGGGAATGGGGGGACTCCAGTATCCCATGGGAAATTTGGGGTTTTGGGGATATTTGGGAGTGGGCACTTCTGGTATCCCATGGGAACTTTGGATTTTTGGGTTTCTGGGATATTTGGGAATGGGGGGACTCCGATGTCCCATGGAAAATTTGGGAACTTTGGGGTTTTTGGGATATTTGGGAATGGGGGACTTCAGTATCCCATGGGAAATTCGGGAATTTTGGGGAAATTTGGGAATGGGGACTCGGGTATTCCATGGGAGTTTTTTGGAATTTTGGGGGCTTTGGGATAATTGGGATTTTTGGGAATGGGGGACTCCGGTATCCCAAGGGAAATTTGGGATTTTGGGAATTTTGGGATTTGGGAATGAGGGACTCCTGTATCCCATGGAAATTTGGGAATTTTAGGGTTTGGGAGATATTTGGGAATGGGACTCTGGTATCCCAATGGGTTTTTTGGGATATTTGGGATTTTTGGGATTGAGGGACTCCGGTATCCCAAGAGAAATTTGGGGAATTTTGGGGTTTTGGGGATATTTGGGAATGGAGTCTCCAGTATCCCAATGGGAATTTTGGGGAATTTTGGATTATTTGGGAATGGGCGCTTCAGTATCCCATGGGAAATTCGTGAATTTTGGGTTTCTGGGATATTTGGGAATGGGGACTCTGGTATCCCAATGGGAATTTTGGGATATTTGGGATTTTTGGGAATGGGGGACTCCTGTATCCATGGGAACTTCGGGATTTTTGGATGTCTGGGATATTTGGGAATGGGGACTCCGGTATCCCAATGGGTTTTTTGGGATATTTGGGATTTTTGGGAATGGGGGACTCTGGTATCCCAAGGGAAATTTGGGATTTTGGGAATTTGGGGGTTTTGGGGAATTGGGGACTCTGGTATTCCATAGGAAATTCGGGAATTTTGGGGATATTTGGGAATGGCGGCTCCAGTATTCCATGGGAACTTCTGGATTTTTGGGTTTCTGGGATATTTGGGGATGGGGGGACTCCAGTATCCCATGGGAAATTTGGGGTTTTTTGGGGTTTTTGGGATATTTGGGAATAGGGACTCCGGTATCCCAATGGGTTTTTTGGGATATTTGGGATTTTTGGGAGTGGGGGACTCCTGTATCCCAAGGGAAATTTGGGATTTTGGGAATTTGGGGGTTTTTGGGAATGGGGGACTCGGGTATCCCATGGGAAATTGGGGGATTTTGGGGTTTTTGGGATATTTGGGAGTGGGGCACTCGGATATTCCAGGGGAAATTCGGGAATTTTGGGAATGGGGGACTCGCGTATCCCAATGGGTTTTTTGGGATATTTGGGATTTTTGGGAATGGGGGACTCGGGTATCCCATGGGAAATTTGGGAATTTTGGGGTTTTTGGGATATTTGGGAATGGGGGACTCGGGTATTCCAGGGGAAATTAGGGAATTTTGGGGAATGGGGGACTCTGGTATCCCAATGGGTTTTTTGGATATTTGGGATTTTTGGGAATGGGGGACTCCTGTATCCCATGGGAAATTCGGGAATTTTGGGAATTTTGGGAATTTTGGAGGTATTTGGGAATGGAGTCTCCGGTATCCCAATGGGTTTTTTGGGATTTTTGGGAATGGGGGACTCCGGTATCCCCTGGGAAATTCGGGAATTTGGGGAATTTTGGGGTTTTTGGGAATGGGGGACTCGGGTACTCCAGGGGAAATTTGGGAATTTTGGGGTCTTTGGAATATTTGGGAATGGGGACTCTGGTATCCAATGGGTTTTTTGGGATATTTGGGATTTCCGGGGAATGGGGGACTCCTGTATTCCATGGGAACTTTGAGAATTTTGGGAATTTGGAGTTTTTTGGGGTATTTAGGATTGGGGGACTCCTGTATCCCAAGGGAAATTTGGGATTTTGGGAAATGGGGGACTCGGGTATTCCATGGGAATTTTGGGATATTTGGGAATGAGGACTCCGGTATCCCAATGGGTTTTTTGGGATATTTGGGATTTTTGGGAGTGGGGGACTCCTGTATCCCAAGGGAAATTTGGGATTTTGGGAATTTGGGGGTTTTTGGGAATGGGGGACTCGGGTATTCCATGGGAAATTGGGGGATTTTGGGGTTTTTGGGATATTTGGGAGTGGGGCACTCGGATCTTCCAGGGGAAATTAGGGAATTTTGGGGAATGGGGGACTCGCGTATCCCAATGGGTTTTTTGGGATATTTGGGATTTTTGGGAATGGGGGACTCCTGTATCCCATGGGAAATTTGGGAATTTTGGGGAATGGGGGACTCTGGTATTCCATGGGAGTTTTTTGGAATTTTGGGGGCTTTGGGTTAATTGGGATTTTTGGGAATGGGGGACTCCGGTATCCCAAGGGAAATTGGGGATTTGGGGAATTTTGGGATTTGGGAGTGGGTGGCTCCAATATCCCATGGGAAATTTGGGAATTCTGGGGTTTTTGGGATATTTGGGAATGGGGACTCTGGTATCCCAATGGGTTTTTTGGGATATTTGGGATGTTTGGGAATGGGGGACTCGGGTATTCCATGGGAAATTTGGGAATTTTGGGGGTTTTTGGGATATTTGGGAATGGGGGACTCGGGTATTCCAGGGGAAATTAGGGAATTTTGGGGAATGGGGGACTCGCGTATCCCAATGGGTTTTTTGGGATTTTTGGGAATGGGGGACTCGGGTATCCCATGGGAAATTCGGGAATTTTGGGGAAATTTGGGAATGGGGGACTGGGGTATTCCATGGGAGTTTTTTGGAATTTTGGGGGCTTTGGGATAATTGGGATTTTTGGGAATGGGGGACTCCGGTATCCCAAGGGAAATTCGGGATTTTGGGAATTTTGGGATTTGGGAATGGGGAACTCCTGTATCCCATGGGAACTTCGGGATTTTTGGATGTCTGGGATATTTGGGAATGGGGACTCTGGTATCCCAATGGGTTTTTTGGGATAATTGGGGTTTTTGGGAATGGGGGACTTCTGTATCCCAAGGGAAATTCGGGATTTTGGGAATTTTGGGATTTGGGAGTGGGTGGCTCCAATATCCCATGGGAAATTTGGGAATTCTGGGGTTTTTGGGATATTTGGGAATGGGGACTCTGGTATCCCAATGGGTTTTTTGGGATATTTGGGATGTTTGGGAATGGGGGACTCGGGTATTCCATGGGAAATTTGGGAATTTTGGGGTTTTTGGGATATTTGGGAATGGGGGACTCGGGTATTCCAGGGGAAATTAGGGAATTTTGGGGAATGGGGGACTCGCGTATCCCAATGGGTTTTTTGGGATATTTGGGATTTTTGGGAATGGGGACTCGGGTATCCCATGGGAAATTCGGGAATTTTGGGGAAATTTGGGAATGGAGGACTCTGGTATTCCATGGGAGTTTTTTGGAATTTTGGGGGCTTTGGGATAATTGGGATTTTTGGGAATGGGGGACTCCGGTATCCCAAGGGAAATTTGGGATTTTGGGAATTTTGGAGTTTTTGGGAATGGGGGACTCCTGTATCCCATGGGAAATTTGGGATTTTGGGAATTTTGGAGTTTTTGGGAATGGGGGACTCCTGTATCCCAAGGGAAATTTGGGATTTTGGGAATTTTGGAGTTTTTGGGAATGGGGGACTCCGGTATCCCGTGGGAATTTTGGGAGATGTAGGAATGGGAAACTCTGGTATCCCAAAAGGAATTCTGGGATATTTGGGATTGGGGGACTTGGGTATCCCATGGAAATTTTGGGATATTTGGGAATGGGGGACTCTGGTATCCTATGGGAATTTTTGGGATTTTTGGGAATGGGGGACTCCAGTATCCAATGGGAATTTTGGGAGTTTATGGATTAAGGGATGAGTGACTCCGGTATCGCAAAGGGAATTTGGGGATTTTTGGGATATTTGGGAATGGGAGACTCCGATATCCCATGGGAATTTTGGGATACTTGGGATTTTTGGGATATTTGGGAATGGGGGACTCCAATATTCCTAGGAAAGTTTGGGGATTTTTGGGAATGAGGGACTCTGGTATCCCAATGGGAATTTTGGGATATTTGGGAATGGGGGACTCCAGTATCCCAAGGGGAATTGTGGGGTATTTAGGATTTTTGGGATATTTGGGAATGGGAGACTCCGGTATCCCAATGGGAATTTTGGGATTTTTAGGATATTTGGGAATGGGGGTCTCTGGTATCCCAATGGGAATTTTGGGATTTTTAGGATATTTGGGAATGGGGGTCTCTGGTATCCCAATGGGAATTTTGGGATTTTTGGGATATTTGGGAATGGGGGTCTCTGGTATCCCAATGGGAATTTTGGGATTTTTGGGATATTTTGGAATGGGGGGCTCTGGTATCCCAATGGGAATTTTGGGATTTTTGGGATATTTTGGAATGGGGGGCTCTGGTATCCCAATGGGAATTTTGGGGTTTTTGGGATATTTGGGAATGGGGGTCTCTGGTATCCCAATGGGAATTCTGGATTTCTGGTACAGCCCTGTTCCTGGTGGATTATCCCAATCCCACATTCCCAGTCCCAGTCTCCCCAATCCCATTTTTCCCATAATCCCAAATTTCCATTCCCGAGGGAAGCGGCTGCTGCCCTGCTCCGTGCACAATCCCAGTCCCCCATTCCCAATCCCAGTCCCACATTCCCAATCCCGATCCCATTTATCCCAATCCCAAATTCCCAATCCCACCATCCCAAAATCCCAATCAATTCCCATTGTTCCAGGGGAGCAGCTCGTGCCCTGCACGGTGCAGCCGCTGTTCCTGGTGGATTATCCCACATTCCCATTTATCCCAAATTCCCATTTATCCCAAATTCCCATTTTCTATCCCAAATCCCCATTTATCCCAAATTCCCATATTCTAGGGAAGCAGCTGGTGCCCTGCACAGTGCACGATTCCAATCCCCCATCCCCAATCCCAGTCTCGAATTCCCATTCTCGATCCCAATCCCCCAATCCCAAATTCCCAATCCCACCATCCCAAATTCCCAAGCCCAAATTCCCGTTGTTCCCAGGGAAGCAGCTCATTCCCTGCACCGTGCAGCCGCTGTTCCTGGTGGATTATCCCAAATTCCCATTTATCCCAAATTCCCATTTTCTATCCCAAAATCCCATTTATCCCAAATTCCCAATCCCACATTCCCCATCTCACATTCCCATTTATCCCAAATTCCCAATCCCACATTCCCCATCTCACATTCCCATTTATCCCAAATTCCCAATCCCAAATTCCGAATTTAATTCCCATTGTTCCGAGGGAAGCAGCTGGTTCCGTTCACGGTGCAGCCGCTGTTCCTGGTGGATTATCCCAAATTCCCATTTATCCCAAATTCCCATTTATCCCAAATTCCCATTTTTCCACGGATGCAGCTCATTCCCTGCCCAGTGCATGATCCCAACCCCCAATCCCCAATCTCAATCCCACATGCCCAATCCCGTTTATTCCCATAATCCCAAATTCCCATTTCCCAGGGAAGCAGCTGGTGCCCTGCACGGGGCACGATCCCCGTCCCACGTTGCCAATCTCAATCCCACAATCCCATAATCCCAACCCCAAAATCCCAATCCCACATTCCCGTTGTTCCAGGAAAGCGTCTCGTTCCCTGCACAGGGCACGATCCCAATCCCACATTCCCCATTCCAATCCCAAATTCCCAAATTCCTGTTTTTCCAGGGAAGCAGCTGGTGCCCTGCACGGTGCAGCCGCTGTTCCTGGTGGATTATCCCACATTCCCAATCCCACATTCCCAATTTTACATTCCCAATCCCAAATCCCCAATCCCACATTCCTAATCTCACATTTCCAATCCCAAATTCCCATTTATCCCAAATTCCCATTTCCCAGGGAAGCAGCTCGTTCCGTGCACGGTGCAGCCGCTGTTCCTGGTGGATTATACCAAATTCCCATTTATCCCAAATTCCCATTGTTCCAGGGAAGCAGCTGGTTCCGTGCACGGTGCAGCCGCTGTTCCTGGTGGATTATACCAAATTCCAAATCCCACATTCCCAATTTTACATTCCCAATCCCAAATCCCCAATCCCACATTCCTAATCTCACATTCCCAATCCCAAATTCCCATTTATCCCAAATTCCCATTTATCCCAAATTCCCATTTATCCCAAATTCCCATATTTCAGGGAAGCAGCTGGTTCCCGGCACGGTGCAGCCGCTGTTCCTGGTGGATTATCCCAAATTCCCATTTATCCCAAACTCCCATTTATCCCAAATTCCCATTTATCCCAAATTCCCATATTTCAGGGAAGCAGCTGGTTCCCGGCACGGTGCAGCCGCTGTTCCTGGTGGATTATCCCAAATTCCCATTTATCCCAAATTCCCATTGTTCCCAGGGAAGCAGCTGATTCCGTGCACGGTGCAGCCGCTGTTCCTGGTGGATTATCCCAAATTCCCATTTATCCCAAATTCCCATTTATCCCAAATTCCCATTGTTCCAGGGAAGCAGCTCGTTCCGTGCACGGTGCAGCCGCTGTTCCTGGTGGATTATCCCACAGTCCCATTCCCAAATCCCCAATCCCACATTCCTAATCTCACATTCCCAATCCCAAATTCCCATTTATCCCAAATTCCCATATTTCAGGGAAGCAGCTGGTTCCCTGCACGGTGCAGCCGCTGTTCCTGGTGGATTATCCCACATTTCCAATCCCAAATTCCCATTTATCCCAAATTCCCATATTTCAGGGAAGCAGCTGGTGCCCTGCACGGTGCAGCCGCTGTTCCTGGTGGATTATCCCAAATTCCCATTTATCCCAAATTCCCATTTATCCCAAATTCCCATCTATCCCAAATTCCCATTGTTCCAGGGAAGCAGCTGGTTCCGTGCACGGTGCAGCCGCTGTTCCTGGTGGATTATCCCAAATTCCCGTTTATCCCAAATTCCCATTTATCCCAAATTCCCATTGTTCCAGGGAAGCAGCTCGTGCCCTGCACGGTGCAGCCGCTGTTCCTGGTGGATTATCCCAAACTCCCATTTATCCCAAATTCCCATTTATCCCAAATTCCCATTGTTCCAGGGAAGCAGCTGGTTCCGTGCACGGTGCAGCCGCTGTTCCTGGTGGATTATCCCACATTCCCAATCCCAAATCCCCAATCCCACATTCCTAATCTCACATTCCCAATCCCAATTTCCCATTTATCCCAAATTCCCATTGTTCCAGGGAAGCAGCTCGTTCCGTGCACGGTGCAGCCGCTGTTCCTGGTGGATTATCCCAAATTCCCAATTATCCCAAATTCCCATTTATCCCAAATTCCCATTTATCCCAAATTCCCGTTGTTCCAGGGAAGCAGCTCGTGCCCTGCACGGTGCAGCCGCTGTTCCTGGTGGATTATCCCAAATTCCCATTTATCCCAAATTCCCATATTTCAGGGAAGCAGCTGGTTCCGTGCACGGTGCAGCCGCTGTTCCTGGTGGATTCCAGCGCGGTCGACGTCGGCTCCGGGGATCTCCCCATTTTCTTCGAGCTGGGCGAGGGCCCCCCGAGCTTCCCGGACGGGGACGAGTACCCCGAGGAGTATCCCGAGGAGTACGCGGAGGAGTATCCCGAGGAGTATCCCGAGGAGTATCCCGAGGAGTATCCCGAGGACCCCGCGCTCATCCCGCCCGCGCCCAAGGACCCGGCCGTGTCCTAAAGGGGGACGGGGGCGCGACCCCAACAAAAAAAAAGACAAAAACGGGATCCCAAAAAAAGAGACAAGAACGGGATCCGAAAAAAAAACGGGATCCTGAAAGCAAACGGGATTCCAAAAAAAAACGGGATCCCGAAAGACAAAAAGGGGATCCCGAAAACAACGGGGTCCCGAAAGAAATGGGATCCTAAAACAAACGGGATCCCAAGACAAAAACGGGATCCTAAAACAAAACTGGGATCCCAAAAACCAACGGGATCCCAAAACAAAAGTGGGATCCCAAAAAACAAAACTGGGATCCCAAAAAACAGAAACGGGATCCAAAAAAAACAAAAAAAAAAGGGAAGGAAGCCCCGAGTGACTCGTCCTGCTTGGCCAACGCCGCCCTCGGGGAATTCCGGGGGATTCCAGGAATTCTGGAGAATTCCGGAGGATCCTGGGGGATCCTAAATCATCCCGGGGAATCCTGGAGCGTCCTGGAGAATTCCAGGAAATCCTGGAGGAATCCAGAGGGTCCCAAGGGATCCTGGAGGATCCTGGAGCGTCCCAGAGGATCCTGGGGAATTCTGGAGGATCCTGAGGAATTCCAGGAAACCCCAAAGGATTTGGGGAGTCCTGGAGGATCCTAAATCATCCCAAGGAATGCTGGAGGATCCTGGAGAATTCCAGGAAGTCCTAAAGGATCCTGGAGTATCCCAGGGAATCCTGGAGGAACCCAGAGGGTCCCAAGGAATCTTGAAGGATCCTAAATCATCCCAGGGAATCCTAGAGCATCCCAGAGGATCCTGGAGGAACCCAAAGGGTCCCAAAGGATCCTGGAGAATTCCAGGGGAATCCTGGAGGATCCTAAATCATCCCAGGAAATCCTGGGGTGTCCTGGAGAATTCCAGGGGACTCCAGGAGGATCTTAAATCATCCTGGGGAATCCTGGAGGAACCCAGAGGGTCCCAGGGAATCCCGGAGCATCCCGGGGGAATCCTGGAGGATCCTAAATCATCCCAGGGAATCCTGGAGGAACCCAGAATCCTGGAGCGTCCTGGAGAATTCCGGGAGATCCCAGAGGATCTGGGGAGCCCTGGAGGAACCCAGAGGGTCCCAAGGAATCTTGAAGGATCCTAAATCATCCCAGGGAATCCTGGAGCTGGGGTCCCACAAATTCCACGTGGGAATGTCGGGATCCCACGTGGGAATGTTGGGGTCTCCTGTGGGAATTTCGAAATTCCATGTGGGAATGCCCAAGTTCCGTGTGGGAATGCCGGGATCCCATGTGGGAATGTCAGGATCCCATTTGGGGGTGTCGGGATCCCATTTGGGAATGCCCAAATTCCATGTGGGGTCCCACGTGGGAATGTCAGGATTCCATGGGATCCCATTTGGGAATGTCGGGATTCCATGTAGGAATGCCGGGATTCCATGTGGGATCCCACGTGGGATGTCAGGATCCCATGTGGGAATGCCCAAATTCCATGTCGGATCCCGTGTGGGAATGCCCAAATTCCATATGGGAATGTTGGGGTCCCATATGAGGATGCCTGGATCCCATATGGGAATGTCAGGGTCCCATGTGGGATCCCATGTGGGAATGCCCAAATCCCATATGGGAATGCCAAGATCCCATGTGGGAATGTTGGGATCCCGTGTGGGAATGCCAAAATCCCATGTGGGATCCCATGTGTGATCCCACATGGAATTTGGGCATTCCCAAATGGGATCCCGACATCCCCATATGGGATCCCGACATTCCCACGTGGAATTTGGGCATTCCCACCCGGGATCCCAACATTCCCACACGGGATTCTATATGGGATTTGGGCATTCCCACATGGAATCCTGACATTGCCACATGAGATCCCACATGGAATTCAGGCATTCCCACATGGAATCCAGACATGCCCATATGGGATCCCATGTGGGAATGTCAGGGTCCCACATGGGAACGCCCAAATTCCACGTGGGATCCTATGTGGGAATGTCGGGATCCCATGTGGGAATGCCCAAATTCCATGTGGGATCCCATGTGGGAATGTCAGGATTCCATGTGGGAATGCCCAAATCCCATGTGGGATCCCATTGGGAATGTCAGAATCCCATTTGGGAATGCCCAAATTCCATGTGGAATCCCGTGTGGGAATGTTGGGATCCTGAGTGGGAATGCCCAAATTCCATGTGGGAATGTCGGGATCCCATATGGGGATGTCTGGACCCCATGTGGGAATGTCCGAATTCCATGTGGGATCCTATGTGGGAATGCCCAAGTTCCGTGTGGGAATGTTGGGATCCCATTTGGGGATGTCTGGATTCCATGTGGGAATGCCTGAACTCCATGTGGGATCCCATGTGGGAATGTCAGGATCCCATGTGGGAATGTTGGGATCCCATTTGGGGATGTCTGGATCCCATTTGGGAATGCCCAAATTCCATGTGGGGTCCCATGTGGCAATGTCAGGATTCCATGTGGGAATGCCCAAATCCCATATGGAATCCCATGCGGGAATGTTGGGATCCTGTGTGGGAATGCCCAAATTCCACATGGGAATGTCGGGATCCCATATGGGGATGTCTGGATCCCATGTGGGAATGCCCAAATTCCATGTGAGGTCCCACATGGGAATGTCAGGATCCCACGTGGGAATGCCCAAATCCCAAATGGGAATGTCAAGATCCCATGTGGGAATGCTGGGATCCCGCATGGGAATGCCCAAATCCCATATGGGATCCCATGTGGGGATGTCAGGATCCCATGTGGGAATGCCTGAATTTCATGTGGGATCCCATGTGAGAATGTTGGGATCCCACATGGGAATGCCCAAATTCCATGTAGGATTCCCTGTGGGAACACCGGGATCCCAGGTGGGAATGCCCAAATTCCATGTGGGAACGTCGGCATCCTGTGTGGGAATGTCTGGATCCCCTATGGGAATGCTGGGATCCCATATTGGAATGTCAGGATCCCATATGGGAATTCAGGATCCCGTGTGAGAATGCCCAAATTCTACATGGAAACATCGGGATCCCATATGGGAATGCCAAGATCCCACGTGGGAATTTCAGGATCCCACATGGAAATGCCCAAATGCCACGTGGGAATGCCAGGATCCCATGTAGGAATGTCAGGATTCCACGTGGGAACATCGGGATCTTGTGTGGGACTGTCCAGATTCCACGTGAGAATGTCGGGATCCCGTGTGGGAATGTCAGGATCCCTGTAGGAACGCCAGGATCCCATGTGGGAATGTCAGGATTCCATGTGGGAACATTGGGATTCCACATGTGAGAACATCAGGATCCCTGTAGGAATGCCAGGATTCCATGTGGGAATGTCAGGATTCCGTGTGGGAACATCGGGATTCCACATGAGAACATCAGGATTCCGCGTGGGAACATCGGGATCCTGTGTGGGACCGTCCAAATTCCACGTGGGAATGTCGGGATCCCATGTGGGAACACCAGGATCCCTGCAGGAACGCCAAGATTCCACGTGGGAATGTCAGGATTCCACGTGGAAACATCGGCATCCTGTGTGGGACTGCCCAAATTCCTTGTGGGAATGCCGGGATCCCGTGTGGGAACGCCAGGATTCCTCGTGGGAATGTCAGGATTCCGCATGGGAACATCGGGATGCCATGTGGGAGCATCAGGGTCCCTGTAGGAACGCCGGGATTCCACGTGGGAATGTCAGGATTCCACGTGGGAACATCAGGATCCCGTGTGGGAACGCCAGGATTCCTCGTGGGAATGTCAGGATTCCGCGTGGGAACGTCGGGATCCCGTGTGGGAACGCCAGGATTCCTGCAGGAACGCCAGGATCCCACGTGGGAACATCGGGATTCCGCGTGGGAACGTCAGGATTCCACGTGGGAACATCGGCATCCTGCGTGGGACTGTCCAAATTCCACGTGGGAATGCTGGGATCCCATGTGGGAACGTCAGGTTTCCGTGTGGGAACATCGGGGTCCTGTGTGGGACTGTCCAAATTCCTTGTGGGAATGCCGGGATCCCGTGTGGGAACGCCAGGATCCTGTAGGAATGTCAGGATCCCACGTGGGAATGTCAGGATTTCGCGTGGGAACGTCGGGACCCTGTGTGGGACTGTCCAAATTCCACGTGGGAATGCCGGGATCCCGTTGGGAACATCAGGATCCCGGTGGGAATGACGGGATCCCGGTGGGAACGCCGGGATCCCATGGGACCGTGCGCGCTCTCCACGATCAGATCAGAACAGATGCGATCTCTCTCTATAAACCACGGCTCCGGCGCCTGCTCCGGCCTCACTGCAGCCGGGATTTTTGGGGAGCAACGGGAATGGGGATCCAGGCACGGGAATTGGGATCTGGGCACGGGAATTGGGATCTGGGGATGGGAATGGGGATCCAGACCCAGGAATGGGGATCCAGACCCAGGAATTGGGATCTGGGCACGGGAATTGGGATCCAGGTGTTGGGATCAAGAGTTGGGAATTGGGATCCTGGGATGGGAATGGGGATCTGGGCATGGGAATTGGGATCTGGGAATGGAAATGGGGATCTGGGAATGGGAATTGGGATCTGGGAATGGGAATTGGGATCTGGGAATGGGAATGGGGATCTGGGAATGGGAATGGGGATCTGGGGATGGGAATGGGGATCCAGACCCGGGAATTGGGATCCAGACCCAGGAATTGGGATCTGGGCATGGGAATTGGGATCCAGGTGTTGGGATCACGAGTTGGGAATTGGGATCCTGGGATGGGAATGGGGATCTGGGCATGGGAATTGGGATCTGGGAATGGAAATGGGGATCTGGGAATGGGAATTGGGATCTGGGAATGGGAATGGGGATCTGGGCATGGGAATTGGGATCTGGGATGGGAATGGGGATCTGGGATGGGAATGGGGATCTGGGGGTGGGAATTGGGATCTGGGATGGGAATGGGGATTTGGGCACAGGAGTTGGGATCTGGGAATGGGAATTGGGATCTGGGATGGGAATGGGGATCTGGGGGTGGGAATTGGGATCCACACCCA